GACTCTTAGGGTGGCAGTTCGCAGAGGAGGGGAAGAAGGCACAGGAGTTTGGCAGCACGTTCGAATCATTAGGGGTGAGGTTTAACTTGGAACATTTCAGCAGCGGGCGTGTGGAGGTTGGGAACACTGACTGCAGGGTGCAAGAACTCCTAACTGCACTTACCCATGCAGTTGAAAGCAAGGAGCTGCGTAACAAAGATGCACAGCGGCTCAGGGTCGGCTACAATTTGCCGACGGCCAAGTTTTTGGCCGTGCCAGCAAGCTCTGCCTCAAGGAGTTGGATGCACATATCGCGTTGGGCCAAGCGGAACTTGGACAGGACGCTCTTGTTGCCTTGAATCGATATGCACTGCTTCTCAGGGACTCAAAGCCACGTGTGCTGGCGAGGCCAGCCCACACCCCGCGATACATCTTCACCGACGCCGCTTACGAGGCAGGCGCTCAGGGCCCCAAGTGCGGCATAGGCGGTGTGCTTTATGATCATGAGGGCAAGATGCTGAGTTTCTTCTCGTATGAACTGGACCGGAAACAAATGGAGAAGCTTGGCAGCGCCACGAAGAAAACCATCATCTTCGAGGCGGAACTTGTAGCGTACATTGCTGCAATAGTGCTTTGGCGCAAGCGCGTCATGCATCATGCATTAGTTGCCTACGTGGATAACAATAGCGCTCGAGACGTGTGCATTTCGGGGAGGGCAAGAAACGACACAGGCAAGATGCTCATCGAGTTACTCCTCTCGGTGGAAGACATGGCAGGGCTAAACACTTGGATATCCCGTGTTCCGAGTCCTTCGAATCCCTCTGACATTTTGTCTAGAAAGCTAGTTAAAGTCTTGAAAGGAAAGGCAGGGATTATCAAGGCGACTCCGGTTGCAAAAACGCTTGATGACATTCTTGCTTAGGACCGCGGTTAATTAGGGGTGACTATGCCTGCCGTAGCTTGTGTGCGTGTGGACTGCTGAGTCCCCGCTGCCTAACCTCGCTTGCACATACGACATGTCTCAATCGCAGCCGCGGTTGAGCATGTCGTTACCGGAGTCTTGCCCGATGTCACCAGTGAAAATGAAGACAGTGCGAGTGTGGCTTCCTGAAGGAATTTATGCAATACATATATGTATATCGGTTCGCTGCAAATAGATTCACGAATCATTTTATTTTAGCGCTGCCGTTTCTGCTCAATCGGAAGAACAACTGAGTAAATTAAGCTAGCGGTCAACGGGTTGATAGCGCTTTAATTTTCGTGGTTGTTTTGTAAAACTAGGTTAGTTTTACTTCTTCCGATTGAGTTGGAAAGAAAATTTGCAAAGTGATTTTCTCTTGCAAGCTTTGAACACTTCTTGTGTGCAGCCGAGCATGTGATTACTTGTGTGCACCGCCGCGAGGTCATGCTCAAGGGAGCAAGTGAAAACAGCATGCAACATGGGCATGGGCAGAAATTTTTGTGTCCCGCCCGCCCGCCCAGTGATAATGACGCAAACCCTTGTTGCCGTGCTTCTTGGGCCGCTGGTTGTCTCCAGCTTGTCGACTTGAGAATCTGCCCCTGCTTGATTCCTCTTGCCTCGGGCCTCTCAGGCGGTGTTTCCTTGCAATGCTCCACCGTGGGCATCTGGGCCGTCCAGTCCCTTGAGGGGTGACTTTGCCTGCCGTAGCGGGGTGACTATGCCTGCCGTAGCTTGTGTGCGTGTGGACTGCTGAGTCCCCGCTGCCTAACCTCGCTTGCACATACGACATGTCTCAATCGCAGCCGCGGTTGAGCATGTCGTTACCGGAGTCTTGCCCGATGTCACCAGTGAAAATGAAGACAGTGCGAGTGTGGCTTCCTGAAGGAATTTATGCAATACATATATGTATATCGGTTCGCTGCAAATAGATTCACGAATCATTTTATTTTAGCGCTGCCGTTTCTGCTCAATCGGAAGAACAACTGAGTAAATTAAAACAACAACTCACTTACGACAAAAGCCTTTGTGAGAGCAGTCAACTGGGAAGCAGAAGCCAAGCCTATTCCCATATAGTTGTGCGAGAACCTGAAGGAACTCATTGAAGAGCAACGTGTTGGTTGGACCAATTGGAGAGACCCTTACCAAGTCCACTACAGCTTAGGAACTTCAGAGCACGTTGATACCTACTTGATGTTTCCACCAGGAAAGTTTGCGTACAGAGCAGTACTTATTGAGGACAACGATCAGTGGTTTCTGTTGCATCACAGCATCATGTTCGAGGAACTTGAAGAACCATTCGGAACAATCTTTGACGGCAGCAAAGAGTATCGAGCACTGACGCTAGTATCGCTCAAGGAATTCCCATTGACCCTCATAGGTACACCTAAGGAAGATGAAGATCGCAAGATGTTCGAAGAGTACACTGAGGATGCATGGTCAATCAGCATGGATGGTATGACACTCACTAGGTACCATAACTCGTTGAGAAAGACATTGTTCAATCCTCGAGATACCAACGACATTCCAGTGGATATTGGAAATCTCAAACCAGACAGGTACACCTACGGAGAAGAACCGATCAACAAGGATTTCTTTGAGGATGATAAGTTCTGGACTTTGGATGAGCCTCACAGAGACCCAGAACCACTAGGAGGTTTATCTTGGACAGGACGCAGTGTATTTGAACTCATTGAACCGGTGAACCCCAAGGCCAGGAAACCAAAACAGAAGGTTCACCAACTGGACACGATTCCAGAACAAGAAGAAGAAGAACAGGAAGAGACCTCAGAGGCCCAAGCACCAGCACACAGGCACGAGCTTGCAGGAGAACTGTCATTTACATTCAACGGTCATGAGTACAATCAGCAGAACAGTCTCAAGGCCCTTAGAGAACTTTGCAAGGAACTTGGAGTATCAAAGTTTGGTTCTAAGCAGGACATTCTTAGAAGACTCAGCAGGTCAATCATGGAAGCAGAAAGGCACATGGAGCTTACCTCAGCCCGGAAGAAGTACAAGGAGTACATTGAAGCAGAACCCCTCAAGGTACCAAAACAGCCAAAGCCAGAAGAAGTTGCAGTGCATAATCTCACACACTTGCCTTACGCATCGTGGTGTCCTACATGTGTAGCGTGCAAAGGAAAGGAGTCTCCACATCTTCGTGAGAACCCAGAGAAGGAAAGATCTTCGAGACCAACTTTCTGCATGGATTTCTGTTTCACAGGAACAAGTCATGATGAGGCACCAGCAGCAGTTAGTCTTGTGTGTGTTGATTCTTGGAGTAGGAACATGGTCTGTATCCCTACAGCATCTAAAGGAAAGGATCTTGTAGAGCACCTTTGTGAAGGAGTCACCTACTTGAGCACCCAGCTAGGATATGGAGCCATCAACTTGAAGGCCGACAACGAAGGAACTATGATGAAACTGAAGCAGGTAATCCAGAAGCAACGAGCAGCCTGAGGTCTAGGAACAATCTTGCAGGAAACAGTCAGTGGCCAGAAGGAAACCAACGGCATGGCAGAGAGAGCAATTCAGACCATTAGGCGACAAGGAACTACCTTGATTAGGCACCTGGAACACAAAACAGGGACCTATATTGCTCACACCCATCCAATCTTCAGTTGGGCTTTCAGGCATGCAGCGTGGACCTTGAACAGGTACCATCGTCACACAGGTACAGGAATGACACCATATGAATGGATGGCCGGGCGGCCTTACGAGGGCCAGCTTGCCGAGTTTGGTGAATCACTTTTGGTTTTGACCAATCGTTCAGGAACACGTGGCAATAGGAAAGGCGACCCTATTTGGTTGAGAGGAGTGTTCTTAGGAAAAACAGACAACAACCTCTTCATTACGTGGCACATGGCACATGGACGGCATCAAGACAAGCCGTAGCGCAAAACGCTGTGTGGAACATTTCGACATCAAAGGAATAATAAGCAGCGTAGGAATCCATACTTGGGAAGTTAAGCACACTACCCTTACGACAAGGAACATCCCAAGGAAGAACATCCCAGGACCACTTGCAGAGGCACCACCGATCATGGATGGACCCGGAACTAAGGAACAGATAGCTCAGGAATCGGCACCTTCGGCACCATCAGGACCGGTTGTCATCCAAGGCGGGGACCCTGCGGGAAAAGCAGGACCTACTAGGTCAACGTACTTAGAGAACAAAGCCAAGCAAGCACAGAGTAAAAGGAAAGCAGAAGAAGAACTTGAGCAGGAATATCCCGACGAAAACCAAGATGAAGCAGCATCGGACCCAACGTCTTCAAGCAGTAGCAGCAACAAGGAAATGGACGCAGCCTCAGAACCAGAACTCATCCCAGACAGTGCAATGGCCAGCGAACTACTTTCAGCTAGAGGACCTGCGCCTCTCAGGAAGCAAGAGTTTGAAGATGTAGGAACAGGTTCCAAGATTCCGAAGATAGATTCTCACAAGAAGAGGTACCCTCCGTTCAACGTAGGAAGAGTGTACGAGCACAACGACGAGGAACTACCTGAAGCAGAACCAGGTACAGAAGACATTTTCTGGGAAGATTCGTACTCAGACATTGGCGATTCAGATGATGAGCAAGACATTTTCAAGAGCGAGGACTCAGGACCTCCAGAAGTCCCAGAGGCACAGTTGCAGGAACTGGACCGTGAGGCGATGCTCACGGAGATCAACAGACTCACAGAGATGAAGGCATTGGCAAGGAAACCCTTGCAAGAGCTTGAGAGAGAAGAGCCGAGAGAGAGAGAAGAAGAAGAAAAAGATCAAGCCACCATCGCAGCTTGCCTGCGTACGGTATTATTTTCACGTGGAAAGTTTGATTTTGAAATCTTATTTGAAAATCAACGCTTGGAGTTTTCAAACGTCTCTTGATGTCAGTCTGCAACTGTTGAGTCATGCGAAGATGCGAAATTCCAGTTGCCGTTGTGCTCTGAGGTAGAGCGCAATTTTTGTTTTCTGGGCCGCTAGAGGTTCCTAGTTCTTTCTAGCAGGCTCCGTGACCCCTGTAAACCGAGTTTTCGCCCTTAGGGCGTGTGCACGCTGGTAGCCGCGGGCTGCCAGCAGATGGACATCGACTCCTCCGATTACGAGGGGTCTGAGGCCAGTAGCCTCTCTTTGGTTAGCCGGCACGTTAACCGCTTGCAGCTCGATCTCAACACCTTGAGAGCGCACGTTGCTGCGTGCGAGCGACGCATCAGGGCCCTGGAGCAGCAGGCTCCCCCTCCGACGCCTGCGCCGGTGCAGTTTAGTTTTCTTGGCTCTTTCTTTCAGTGCTGTCTTGGTCGCCAGCTGCAATGAGCGGGCCTTCTGCTGATGGGGATTCTCAAGCTTCCAGCAGTTTTCAGGTTGTGTCCGCCTCTGCTGCTGCTTCCGGTCGCGCAGGGGGTGTGGCGGTAGCAGCTTCAGAGTCAGAATTGTCAAACCGTCAAGAGAGCATGGATGTGACGGCAGCAGCTTCAGAACCAGACTTGTCAAAGCTTCAAGAGACCATTCGCGAAGCAATCTTCTCATGCAGTGAGCCGCAGGTTCTTCAGTTGCCTTGGGAAATGCCGGGTTTGAATTTGATTTTTGGCAAGGGTGCTTTAGATCAGCTTCTGCCTGCTGAGCCTCCCAAAATAGTGTTCCCAGTCCCTACAGCGGCAGATGCTCCGATTGAGGAACAGGCCAAGGCTGCAAAGAGGGTTAAGACTGCCGCTTTTGGGCAGCCTTGCTTCCGTGGGTGTGTGAACTTCAAGAACGTTCTTTCGGATGCTGAGCTTGAAGCTGGAGCCTGGCAGAGATCTCTTGAGAAGTGGCATTTTCTTTTGACCTTAGATCCTTCGGTTTCGCTTGTGGGTTCTTCCTTGGCCGGCATGGGAACTGCTGATGGCATGCAGTCCCTACGCGAACTGTTTGGCAGGAAGAAGGTAGCCACTGTGAGTAAGCGTGCGGCATCATTGCTTAAGTACGTAAAGTTCATGCAGGAGTGTCGGCCCTTTTCAGGCCCCTTTCCTTTTTCCACCGAAAAATGTGATGAGTATGTCAGGCACTTGAGGGCTTGTGATGCCAAAGTCGGAGCTGTTGACGGGTTCACTGAATTGGTGAGATTCGCGATCCACGTTGTAGGAGTCAGTTGCCGCGGGCCTTCCGACAAAATTTTCAGCCCTTGGTCGATTGGTCTTAAAGGCCTCATGCAGTCGCAGAAGGCAGAGCGTGTGAGTGCACTTGTTTTGTCTGTGGAGCAAGTCTCTTGCCTCGAGGCGTGCTTGGGCAACTCAGAGCTTGATGCCAAGGACCGTTATGCCTGTGGCGCTTTCTTGTTTTGCATCTACAGCAGGAGCCGAGTCGGTGATGTGAAGAAAATCCACAGGTGTATAGTGGACACTGTGGATGCAGCTGGGGAAATTCAGGGTTTTCTTGAATGTGGTACTCGGGTGCATAAGTCCGCAAGGCAAGCAGCCGTGCAGGGAGTATCTATGCCTTTAGTCGCTCCAGTCTGGGGTGTTGGACCAGAGCCTTGGGGACCCAAGTTCGTTGCAATCGCTGCTGAAGTTGGTTTAGCGTTCGACTCGGCTCGCGCGGGGCCTCTTCTTCCCGCACCACTGGAGTCAGGCGAGTGGAGCCAGAGAGCAGTGACCACAGATGAGGCTGGGCAGTGGCTTCGTGCGCTACTCAGCCGATGCAACAAATGCTCCGATGGTGTGTCAGGGCATTCGCTTAAGGCTACCACTCTTGATTGGTGCGGCAAATATGGAGTCAGCGAGCAAGCTCAAACCCTTCTTGGTCACCATGCCCTCAAGGGTTTGTCTATGTATGCTTATATGCGTGACAAGCTTGCGGCACCGCTGAGAGCTTATGACGGAATGCTCCGAAGCATTCGGCATGGCCTTTTCATTCCAGATGCAACTAGGTCCGGGTTATTCAAAGCTGAAGGTGAGGCTCATGTCATGGAGCCCAGCCACGCGCCCAGCCTCAGCACGGCCCCTCCTCACGTGCGTGATGGTGGGGTTTTCGGAGACGAGACTCCTGTTGGGTCTGAAGGCGAGGCCCAGCACTATAGCAAGGCTGCATGGACGCCTGAACGAGAAGCTCAGTCTTTCCTTGATAATCAATTCACGGGTGAAGCTGAGGACGAAGCTGATGGAGTTGAGAGTCGGGCCCCTGAGCCCGCGCCAAGTTCTTCGTCCTCTTCATCGTCGAGCGACTCGGACAGTTCTGATGGGGAGCCCGGGACTGACTGGATCGATGCCTTCGATTCTGGGCTCGGGAATTCCCTTGAGAAGTCTAACCTCTCTGCGCCTGACATGGAATTTTGGAGACATGATAAAACTATGACCATCCACTCCATTGCGGTTGGTGCTTCTGGAGATGTGTTCACTTGTGGTCGTAAGAGAACAGGTGATTACTCAAAGGTGACGCAAAGCGCTTTTCTGGAGACTCGTCTCTGTGTCAATTGCAAGAAGAGCAAACCTTTGAGGGACATCGGATCTTTGAATGCTGTGTTGAATAAAAGCTTGAAACGATGATTTCTATGCCACGGCCTGAGTTGCTCCACAAAGAGTGGTTGCCGGAAGTCCGGGCGACTCAAGGTTGGGTGCGAGGTGCACCCAGCTCAGTCTGTCAAACAGTCGAGCATCCCTTTTGGGCTGCGATGTGCAGCCCAAGGGATATCGTGGCCAGTTCGAGTGAGCCAATCCTGGACTCCGGGAGGTTCGAGGGCTCGAGCTGCGAGGTGCAGTGCGGGCAAAATTTTGCGGAGTGCGAAAGGAGAGCCAAATGGTTGCACGAGGCACCTGGGGGCTTGATCGAGTGTTGTGTCGAACTTGCTGTGGCAGCATATGCAGATTTCTGACTTGCGTGTTTTTGCGCTCAAGATTTTTAATTTTCGGAACCGGGCAGATTGCGAGGTGCAATGGCGGGGTTGCCTGTGGCAACTTCCTTCACGGAATCCAAGGCTGCTTTCGCTAAGAGAGCTTTGGAGGTCGGGCTCGCGCAAGCCGAAGTGGACCATCTTGTCTCCAAACAGGTTGACACTCTCTCGAAGTTAGCTTTTGTCCTGGTTCCTCCTGGGAAGGTTCCTGAGGACAGTGCAGTCGTTGGGCTGCTCCCAGCAGGTTCAAGTCAGGGAGCTATAGCAGGGCTCAAGCGGCTTCTTTTCGAAGCCCATACATTGATTGTGTCAGCCCTCAAACAAAAGGTGGAGCGCACTGAGGAGTCCTTGCCTCTCACTCTTGACATAGCCGAGCGAGAAGATCGTTTGGCAAGCCAGAAAACACGTTTGGGCGGGTTGACCTTTCAAGGTGAAGAGGAGGTCGCTCATGGTGCATACGACCTTGTCTTCTCGATGGCCCAGAAGAACGAGCTCATTTGGTTGGCGCCTGAGAAGTTCAACGCACGGCGTGCAGAAATCAGTGCCAAGAAGCCTTCTAAAGAGCTCGTCATAGATGGGAGCGGCGTTGCGGTTAAAGATAAGCCCCAGGTCCTTAACTGTGCCATCAACTCTGACTTAGACTTGGTTTTGGCCATGCGCCGCAGAGCGCTTGCATTCGACCTTGTGGGGCTCATGAGTTTTGATGTGGCTAACCGCTATCATCAGGCACTTGTTCAACGTCTCCAGGAGGCTCCCCCTCCCAACTATGCCAAGGTCTCTATTGCTCAGGTTCTCCGCGCTGATCGAGCGGCATTCCTCCGGCTAGCAGAGTTGCTGCCCACTTTGCGCCGCAGCGGCGCGGGCAAGCTTCCTTTGGACGAGCAGCTTCCCAACATCCTGCTCGACCCTTCAGTCGCTTACCACTTGTTTCCCCTGCCAGCAGGTTCAACCTCCACTGCAAAGTTGGATGACAGGCCCGATCCACCTACTAAGCGTCCGAATCCTCGCCTTCCGAACCCTAAGAAGGCCCCAAAGAGGTATGCTTTCTCGGTCCCAAAAGAGCTTGTTGGCAAAGCGCATCAAACTCCTAAAGGCCACCGTCTGTGCTGGGGTTTCAATCTGCCGTGCGGTTGCAAGGACGCCAAGCCTGGCGGAAAGTGCGCAAAGGGCCTTCACTTGTGTGCAGAGCCGGGATGCTTGAAACCGCATAGCTTGCAAGACCACTCTTGACAGTCATCCGGTCCTCCCTGTCAGGGCCTTGCCGCGTCAGACAGAACTGTTGCAGCAGAGGCTACTCTTCAACGACTTGAAGGGCAGCCTTTGAGCGAGCTCGTGACCGTGGAGGTCTTTTGCGGAACTGGGCGGCTCAGTGCTTCCCTTCGTAGTGAAGGTTTTGATGCCTTCGGTGTCGACCATGTGGTCGGCAAAACTGCATGTTGTTCAGTCCTTCAGCTTGATCTTACTTGTGCGGCCTCTATTGCACATCTGTGGAGCATCTTGAAGGATCCTGCTGTCAAATTCATTCATTTTGCGCCGCCCTGCGGTACCGCAAGCAGGGCCCGTGACATCCAGTTTCCCGGTGCCCCACCTGTCCTCCGCAATGAGAGCCACCCTGAAGGGGTTCCTGATCTTTCGGAGATCCCTGCACTCAGAGTGCAAAAGGCTAACATGCTGTATGAGTTGACTCTTGAGCTAAGTTCTTTCTGTCTTCTGAACGGCAAATATTTTTCCTGTGAAAATCCGAGCCGCAGCTACCTTTGGCTGCTTCCTCAGTGGCAGCAGTTCTTGAAGCGCTCGGATGTCTTTCAAACTGTTTTTCATCACTGTGAGTTTGGTGGCATGCGTCGCAAAGAGACGCTCCTGGTGCATAACATCCCCAAATTCCGCGAGCTTCATCGTTTGTGCTCTGGCAAACATGTGCATCTGGGCTGGGGCAAGGTCGGCCGTACGTGGGCAACAAGCGCTGAGACGGCCTACCCCTGGGGCCTCTGCAAGTGCATGGCGAGCTTGCTGAAAGATCACTTTTTGGAACTTGGCTGTCGCCCATCTCCCAAAGCTATTGCTGAAGGCGCACCCACCATCCAAGGCGCGCGTGCCTTCACTGGAGCCCAGACTCGCAAGCGCGTGCCTCCGCTGCTTAGCGAATTCGCTTCGGTTCACACTGTCACTGTGCCTTCCAATCTTGCCGCGTCTTTCTTGCGCCCTGGCCAAAAGCTCCCGTCTCCGTGGAAGCCCGGGGATGATGCTGCTTGTTCTCCGGCAATCGAGTGCTTTCCGGCAGGTAGCCGTGTCCTTCGTGCCCATGTGGTGCGCAGGGGGATTGAGGTTGGCCCTAGTCCCACGGCTTTTTCCCCTAGTTCCGGTTTAGTCCCTGCAGCCCCTCGTGTGTTAGGTGCCGAGAGTTCTGAGAAGAACAGTCTGCTGAAGCGTCCTAGCAGAAAGCGTCCTTTTGCTAATGTTCTTGGATGTGCTGAGGCTTCTCTCGGTCTGAATCCTGACGATACCGAGGTTCGAGAAGCCATGATGTCGGGTTCTGCCGAGCGGGTTGCTTTGCTTGTAAACAAGTTGCCTAAGGTACACCGCAAAGACTTGTCCTTGTTGCTTGACTTGCTTCCTTCAGAACCTCTTCGTTGGGAGGGCGATGCTGGAGCGAAATCGTTCCAAGGTGGCAGCTTTGTTCACGGCCCGATGTGCGGGGTGCGATCAACGACCAAGCAGTTCCCGGAAACTGTCAAGGCAATGTGCTCTTATGTCAAAGGCCTTTTTCCAGGTTTGGAGTTCGGAACTGTTGGGATGTTCAGGGATGTGTCTGCTCAGCCACACCGGGATTCGAATAATGAAGTCTCCACAGACAATGCAATTGCTGCGCTATCAGATTTTTCTGATGGCTCTGTGTGGATGGAAGATCCTGCGGGTGACGTCGAGCTTGAAATCAAAGGTCGCGCAGTGAGAGGTGTTTGCATTCCCGTCACCCATGAAGGCTTCAGGTTCGATGGCCGTCGCCTTCATTGCACAAGGCCTTGGACAGGCCGGCGTGACGTTATTGTTGCGTACATGCCGAGGGGCCCTAAGAAACTCAAAGCTGAGCACGCCTCTTTCTTGACGAGCCTGGGATTTGTGCTTGATCGAGCGACTTCGGGGTCCCAAGTCTCGCCTGGGGACATGACTAAGGCTGTCATTGGTGTGTACCGTACACCATCACAGTTTGTTGAACAGGCAATTAAGGTTGGGCACCCCACACAGCTCTCCGCTCTCATGCCTTCCGAGATCTCCTGTGCAGTCCGGAGAATCCATAAAGAAGGTGAGGCAAATGTGGCCAAGGAGCGCACCGCAACACTTCGCCGGTGGGTTAGCAGAGCAGCCGACTTAGAGCCAGCCGAGCGCGTGCTAAAGGCTGACCTTCCTCAGTTTCGAAAGGATGTTCTTAGTCCTAAACGCCTCGCTCTTTTCGAGGAGCTGTTGCTTGAAGTGGGACATGAGGACGTTGACCTTGTCAAAGACATTGCCCATGGGTTTGACTTGACAGGCAAGCTGCCTAGATCAAATGTTTTTGCTAAGCGCTTTCGTCCTGCGGAGCAGAGTGAATCTCAACTTCGATCCAGCGCTAAGAGGCTGCGTGATGGTCTCCTGGCCACGATCAAAGCTTCAGAGGATCCTGTGATTGACCAAGGTGTTCTTAAGGCGACGATGAAGGAACTTGAGCGCGGCTTCGTTGATGGAACTTTGTCTCCAGACCAGATCCCTGAAGATGCGTCCTTGACACATCGTTTCGGAGTCATTCAAGGGAGCAATGAAGACGGTCCAAAGGTGAGGCCCATAGATAATTACCTGTCTTCCCAAGTTAATGCCGCGGTCACGCAGGTTGAACAAGTCAGCGTGCACACCATTGACGTGGTGGCCGGGATGCTGGCCTGTTGGTTAAATGAGTGGTTCATCAGCGGGCGCCCAGAGCACAGCACGCCTGTGTGCAAGGCGTGGGACCTGCGTACCGCCTATAAACAACTTCCCCTTTCGGATTTAGCTTATGCCTTAGATAGTTTCTTTGTGCTCTTCAACATTGAGCGTGGGGCGAGCGAAATCTATCGCCAGAGGGTGCTTCCCTTCGGCTCAACAGCCAGCGTGACCAGCTTCATAAGAACAGCTTACGCCATTTGGAAATTAGGTGCCGTAGGGTTGACTCTTGTCTGGAGTGAATATTTTGATGATTATCTGAATCTTTGCGGCAAGGCTTTTGCTCGGCATAACGACTTTGTAATCTCCATGTTATTCCAACTGCTGGGATGGGAAATCTCGAAGGATAAGGAGCTCAGCTACGATGCACTTTGCGTCGTCCTGGGAGTGCAAGTGAACCTTCGTGATGCCAAGCTCGGTTTGGCTTACTTGGAGAACACCGTGAAGAGGCGGACTGAGGCGTTGTGTGACATTGAGCGGGCTTTAGCAACTGGTAAGCTTGAACCTAAAGAAAGTGAAAAGCTAAGGGGCCGGTTGCAGTTCGCTTGTTGCCAAATTTTTGGTCGGCGACCAAAGGCGGCTTTGAAGTTGTTGTCGCAGCACTCCAGGCAACGCAGATGGGACGTCAGCCAACTCACGCGGCTTGCACTCACTCAGCTGAAAAGTTTCCTTGAAAGTTCCAAGCCACGTCCAGTCAGGGCGCGGCGTGAAGACTTTGTCCATGTGTATGTGGATGCTTCCTTCGAGCCAAACGGCCATTGTGGTTTGGGGGGAGTCGTCTTCAGTTCTTCTGGTGAGGCGTTGTGCTGGTTTGGTCAAGCTGTTGAGCCAGTACATGTGCAGAAGCTTTTGAAAGCTGGTGACCGCGAAAGGGAGACAGTGATCTTCGAGCTTGAGGCGCTTGTGCTCAGCATTTGCCTCGAAGCCTTTCGCCCGTACGTCGAGAGGAAAGGTGTTGTCATTTTCACTGACAATGAGGGCGTGTTCGGAAGCTTCGTCAGAGGCCATAGTGACAATGCTTCTTGTGCTGCCTTGATCGACTTCTTTGCTTGCTGCGAAGAGAGCCTTGAAACGATCTGCTGGCTAGATCGTGTGCCATCCTCTTCCAATCCTGCAGACGACCCCTCGCGTGGCGTGAGTATCCGAGGTGCACCACGTGTCGATCTTGACCTGAATCTCTTGAGTCGCGCGCTTCCTGAAGTCTTTGGGTGAATGGGGTACATGTTCTCAGGGGGAAGCGGGATGTACCGCATTCACTTGGGATGTCCAAGAGTTTTTCCCTAGCTGAGACAATCGACGGATTCCCCATGCCACCTACGAGGAAAAGTCTTGTGCTGTCGAGTGAGTGCGCTGCGAATTCTTGAGATACGCAATTATGTTTAACATACAGATTGGAGAAATTCTGTTTTCATGATAAATATTTCTCCTTACGATTCGATTGATGCCAGCCGATTGAATTATAGTTCTCCGTATGGCATCCATGCATTGTTCAGGTTCACGCGGTAACTTTACACAAGTGAAAATAAGGAACAAAGTGGCTCACAACGAAGTTTGTTTTCGATTGGAGATTCAGGAATGGCAGATGGATGCGTAGAGCTAGGTTAGTGGCTAGAGAGTTTCGAGGTGTAGAGGTCAGGAATGACACTTTCAGCCCAGCTACTAGCGCATCATTGGTGAGACTTATCCCTATCTTGGGACTGCAACAGGAACATTCCCTGTATTCGATTGATGTCAAGGACGCATTTTTACAGGTACCGCAGAGAACCCGTTGCGCATGTCAATTCCCAAAGGAATATGTGGATCTGTTTGGCGACCAAGACCCTAACTGTAGGAACGAAGGTTTGTTACTGCTTAGAGTACTTCCAGGACAGCGAGATGCAGCACTTCTTTGGAGTGACCATTTTGCAGGAACACTTAAAGAGCAGAACTTCGATAGGTGCATAGCTTGCCCTACCTTGTTTCGTGATGACAGGAACAGCATACTTGTTGTGCATGTGGACGACATTCAAGCAGCAGGGAAAACCAGACACCTAGAGCCCAAGCTAGGAAAGCTAGGAGAGACCTACGAACTGAAGGTTGAAGGCCCCTTCTTGACAGAGCAGGAACTTGAAGTAGGAGAGTCACATCAAACCATCAGATTCCTCAAAAGGAAATTCAGCTATCACAATCATGAGCTTCACATCACGAGTGACCCGAAGTATCTTGTGAAACTCAAGGAAGAACTGAAGTTGACGAGTAAAGCCTCGAAGCCAACTCCGTGCACCCAAGAGTCTCAGGAAGCTGACAACACCCAAAGCTTGAACCAGGAACAAGCAGCATCGTTCAGGAAATGCGTTGGCATACTCTTGTATGTCAGTCAGGATCGCCCTGACGTGCAGTTTGCCGTAAGAGGTTTAGCCTCCAAGATGTCGGAACCTACGCATGGTTCTTGGAAACACCTAGTCCATCTTGTGCAGTATATGGCAAGAACTGAAGGATATCATCTTGTATACAGGAAAACACCAAGAGGACTCAGCAACCTTCATGAATCCATTAGGAACGGCAGTTACGACTTTGCAGGAACACAGCCCAGGGAGTATCACCTTTTGGAAGTCTACAGCGACTCAGATTGGGCAGGAAAGAAGGACACTAGGCGCTCAACATCTTCAGGAATTGTTTGCTTAGATGGCCAGTGTATCTATTCTTTTTCAAGGAACCAAAAGTCAGTCAGCTTGAGCAGTGGTGAAGCAGAGTACTACGCAGGAGCTAGCGCGGCATCAGATTCTATATTGTTGAAGGAAGCAGTAGAATTCTTGACAAGGAAAGTCTGCAAGGTACACTTGTACATGGACTCTTCAGCAGCTAGAGGCATCATTACAAGGCAAGGTGTAGGAAGAGTGAAGCACCTCCAAATCAGGACCCTTTTTCTACAGGACCTCCACAAGCAAGGAACAATCAGCGTGCACCCTATAGGAACCAAAGAAAACACAGCCGACATAGGAACCAAGCCCCTTTCAGCGAAGCGCATTAGATTGCTGTTGCATTGGTTGGGTTTTCAAACTGGAGAGAACGAACCAGTAGGCCGAGAAGAACTCAAGGAACACAAGGCCCAAACACAAGCCAAAGCAGTTGTAAGGATGATCAAGAGCCCAGGAACTTTGTCGTTTGCAGCTTTGTTGTTTGCAGGTATTTCAGGAATTTCAGACAGTCTTCAGATTCAGAGTTGCAAGGAACAGAGTTTTGAGAGCTGTTTTCTTCAGGAAGAGTTTCAGCCAGAGTTTCAGGAACATGTTTTCTGTTTTGCAAGTGCATGTGCACAGGATGGCATATGCAGTGACACGAGTGCATGTGAGTTAGGAAAGTCTGCAGGAACAGCGCATGAAACCTCATGTTTTGAGATGCTTTCTCAGCTCAAGGAATTCTGCGGAACAGTCGCGGAACGCTCAGGTATACAGGAACTAGTGCGACCTGTAGCAGAAGGTCAAGGAACCTCAGCCATGGAAGCCAGCGCGAGTACGGCAAGGAACAGCAGTGACGTTCTCAAGGAACTGGAAACGTTAAAGGAAGCCGCCACAGAACTCAGGAAAGCCAGCGCGGAAAGGAACGAGATCGCAGAGTCGATCAGGAAGAACACAGAGGAAGCGACGCGTTTGCGTCGATCCCAGGAACATGTGGCTGGTTGCGTGAAGTCCCTGACGGGACAAATCCAGGACGTCAAGTTTCAGGTTCAGGAAATGGCCGAGCAGAACGACAGAGACAGGACAGAGTCAAAGGAACACCTGGCGCACGTCTTCAAGACGTGTGACAAGCTCAAGGACCAAGTGCAGGAACTGATGAACGAGTACCACCTGGTTACAGAGGAACAAGAAGAAGACCAAAGGAACAGAGAAGCAAAGGACCGTGAAGAAGAAGGAGAACTTCGACGCACAGGACACGGTTTGGGAACTACAACGCGACCTACGTCACCTACGTCCACGCAAGCAAAGGAACAGAAAGACATAAGAGAGTGGTCTGACAGAGAGTACTTTGACCGCCTCCAGGAACAAGAGCAGGACTACATGGACTACAACTACGACGAGAACGAAGTCTACGTGCACAGCTACGTTGGAGGAGAAGAAGCCACAGCAGAGGAGCCACAGGAGCAAGAGGAAGAAGAGGATGAAGAAGCAAAAGAGGAAAGAAGGAAGCAAAAGATCAAGGAAATCAACGCCAAGAGCAAGGAAAGGCTCAAAGAGAAGGAGAAGGAAAAGGAACTCTTTCCGTACCCTTACGACTACAGCAGCGAGTGGAAGGAGTACACCGAGAACGGCGAGAAGTACCGCGAGCACAGAGTTACAGGAGAAAAGCAGTGGATCTGCAAGGACTACGCGTACAAGCACGAGAAAGGAGGACAAGGAAAAGACAAAGGAAAAGGAAAGAAAGAAGGCAGAGGAAGAGCAAAGCCGCAGCAGAGAGCAGCAGCCGCGGGATTCGAACCGCGAGACGAGGAAGATCGCAAGTACTGGGCAGAACAAGACAGGATCTCAAAGGAGCAACAGCAAGCAAAAGCCAAAGCAGAACAGGAAAAGAAGGAGCAGGAAGAGAAGTTCGCCAAAGCAAGAAGGATCTTAGAAGAGGCAGCAGACGAGCAAGAGAAGCGAGACAAGGAAGAGTTCAGGAGAGAAGCAGCCGCAGCCGCGGAGAGAAGGAAAGAAGTTGAAGCAGCAGCCAAAGCAAAGGCAGAGAGAGAAGCAAAGGAGAAGGAGCCGCAGCAGAAGCCAAAGAAAATGAAGAGCAGGAAGAGAAGGAAGCAGCAGCCGCAGCAGCAAAAGAGGAGAAGGAGAACAAGGAACAGGAAAGAAAGAGAAAGGAGAAGGAAGCAAGGAAGAAAAGAGAGGAAGACCAGAAGGAGTCGTCGGCATACATTGCCAGAAAGGAAGCAGAGAAGAAAGCAGCAGCAGCAGGAAGAGCGTCAGGATCATGAGATGTGGAATCGAGAGGTGAAGAAGACAGGATCAAGAAGCTGGAACAGATGATGGAAAGTATGATGAAGGAAAGAAAGGAGGATAAGGAAAGGATTGCAAGCCTCACACAGGAGCTTGAGAGCAGAGGATCAGCAGCCGGGTCGCAGGCACCCGCAGAGCCAGGCACAACACCAACAAAGGAGCAGGAAAAGCCAGAGGACAAAGGAAAAGGAAAAGGACAGGAGCCACCAAGCGTCAGACAGAAGCAGCAGAAGCAGAAGGAAGGAACACACGACAAGGAACTTTCAGCCAAAGGACCAGTGAACGAAGCATCGTTCTTGAAAGGAAAAGGAAAAGGAGAGTTTGAAGGAAACTGGTTTGCAGTCTACGGTTTCCAAGGCAGGAACTACCAGTGGAAGTGGAACGAAGAGAAGGCGACATGGTACTGGTACTCAGGATCCAAGGAAACTGGATGGAAAGCAGGATCAAAAGACAAGCAAGGAAAAGAGAAGTGCAAGGCACAGGCAAAGCAGCGAGAAGAGTGGCTAAAGGACCAACTCAAGGAACAGTCGGAAGTCACCCGCGACAGCGAAGACGAAGACGACAAGCCCGTGAACTTCCAGTGAAGCCAAAGGAACAGCGAGCAGTTCTGAGGCCAGAGAGCCGAGGAGAAAGAAGTGAAGCAGGACACAGGAACCGTGGCACAGGTACAGCCCTTTTTTGTTTCTGTGGTGATCTAAGTAAGTTTCAGGAACTTTTGTACAGACGAGCAACCTTGGAGAGGATTGCGAGTGAACGTTGCTTTACGTTTGCGAAGAGGAATAGCGTTTGTTTTGTAGTGAAAAGGAACTGCAGCGTGTTTACTGTTTGTTCAGGAAAGTCGGAGTCACCTCAGTCGAGGAACTTTCGCTAACTCCGAAGGCGGGGTGTTAAACATCTTGCCAGGAACAGTAACACCGCTAGTGCAGTGTAGTTAATGTAAAGGAACAGCCGTCACGCACACGCGACGTGCAGGCTCGAGACTACCAGGACACACTCCGCAGTGCAGGAAAAGTGTCCGCCTTTGTGAGTGAGTAGGAAAGCTTAGTGAAGCCCGTTCTTTAACAGTTCTGCCGGTCCTCTTTCTGTGGCTGCGCACTCGGCAAGTTCTAGCAGCGATACCAGCAGTTGCGAGTCCGTTCACGGCTCCGGCAGTGATGCTTCCTGTGCTCGGCCCGGGGAGTCTACTTGCGATGCGAGAGCTTTTGAAGTTCGCCTTGGTGTGTACGCCTCGCCAGATGAATTCCTTGA